TGCTTATTGTCACACATCTCAGCCTAAGCTAAATACCCAGGGCCAACTCAACAAGTATGTCTCTCTTTTCTTTTCAATAGGTTATCTTGAAATTTTTCAAGTAAAAGGGACATTGAAAGAGGAACAAAATGAACCCTGCCTACCACTTACCTAGGGTCATCAGCAGCTAACCATCAGCCACATCTCTCTGTACACAAGTTTGCATATACACTCACACACACACTTTAACTGAATCTGTAGAAAATAAGTTACAGAAATAATGACAAATATTTCAGCAAAAATCCTTCAACATGTGTATGCCATAGTGAAGGAAGTACGGATAGAGAAGGGATTTGTAAATGTTGGTGGGAATATGGAATGAAAGCCGACAGCATTTTTTTAAACATCATTTTATTAGGGGCTCATACAACTCTTATCACAATCCATACACACATCAATTGTGTAAAGCGTATTTGTACATTCATTGCCCTCATCATTCTCAAAACATTTCCTCTCCACTTAAGCCCCTGGCATTAGGTCCTCATTTTTCCCCTCCCTCCCCGGGTCCCCTTCCCTCATGAGCCCTTGATAATTTATAAATTGTTATTTTGTGATATCTTGCCCTGTCCGACGTCTCCCTTCACCCATTTTTCTCTTGTCCGTCCCCCAGGGAGGAGTCACATATAGTTCCTTGTAATCGGTCCCCTCTTTCCTACACACTCTCCCTCTATCCTCCCAGTATCGCCACTCACACCACTGGTCCTATAGGGCTCATCTGCCCTGGATTCCCTGTATTTCCAGTTCCTATCTGTACCAGTGTATATTCTCTGGTCTAGCCAGACTTGCAAGGTAGAATTCGTGTCATGATAGTGGGAGCGGGGAGGAAACATTTAGGAACTAGAGGAAAGTTGTATTTTTCATCGTAGCTATATCGCACCCTGACTGGCTCGTCTCCTCCCGGAGACCCCTCTGCAAGGGGATCTCCAGTGGCCTACTAATGGGCTTTGGGTCTCCACTCCGCACTCCCCCCATCATTCACTATGGTAGGATTTTTTGTTCTGATGATTCCTTACACCTGATCCCTTCGACACCTCATGATTGCATATGCTGGTGTGCTTCCATGTGGGCTTTGTTGCTTCTGAGCTTGATGGTCGCTTGATTACCTTCAAGCCTTTAAGACTCCAGACGCTATACTTTTTGATAGCCGGGCACCACCAGCTTTCTTCACCACATTTGCTTATGCACCCATTTGTCTTCAGTGATCCGTTCGACACCTCGTGATCACACAGGCTGATATGTTGTTCCATGTGGGCTTTGTTGCTTCTGAGCTAGATGGCCGCTTGTTTACCTTCAAGCTTTTAAGACCCCAGACGCTATATCTTTTGATAGCCGGGCACCATCAGCTTTCTTCACCACATTTGCTTATTCACCTGCTTTGTCTTCAGCGGTTGTGTCGGGAAGGTGAGCATCATAGAATGCCAATGTAATAGAAGAAATAGCATTTTTACACTTCTTTTTTTGGGTTTTTTGTTCATATTTTGTTGGCTTTACTAGAGGGCTGATATAAATGTCATCATTAAATCTTATCTTCTGGAAAGGTTAGTTAAAATGATTCTGCCTATCTACTATGCTAAAGTGTACTGTAAAATAAAAGTAATGAAATATGATGTGGCAAACCCGAGGACCTCTGGCTGTGTTGCGAGTCGCCCTGTGCTACAGGTTGTCTAGTCAAACCCACCCGAAGCTCTCTGGCAAAAAGGGGCAGAAAAAAAACACACAAAAAACCCCTCAAAACTGGCAATCTATTCTCATAAAGGTTGCAGCCTAGAAAGTCCCATGGAGTAATTCCGCTCTGTGATGGAGGTTCACGCGGAGCCCTGGTGACATCGTGCTCACGCGGTGGCCTGCTAACCCAAGGTCAGCACATCGAAGCCACGAGCTGTGCTGCAGGAGAAAGACGAGGCTTTCTCCCAGTCTGCAGTCTCAGAAACCCGCGGGAGCAGATCTGCCTGGTCCTGCAGGGCTGCTTGAGTTGAGCTCCACCCGAAGTCAGGGAGTTTGACTTTTGGAGTAGGCAGACTGAACTAGAGAGCACACGTGAACACGGGCACCCCGGTGATGCAACACGTAAGCATTTGGCTGCTAATTTAAAGGGCGTCAATTTTAACACCCACCCCTCGCCCCGCCCCCAAAGCTCCGTGGGAGAAAGACCGGGTGGCCGGCACCCACTAAGATTATGGCCTAGAAACCCGATAGAACAGTTCTGTTCTCTCATTTGGAGCGGCTATGCGTTTGGGATGATTAAATGGTACATCCAATTAATATTAGCTTACCAAACTTTTCAATTAAAAATATGTATCAGAAAAATATACTCATTTAACCAGTCATGCAGTAAAAGCTGTGCCCAAACAATTCCTAATGGTAGGGGTTAGAATGAAACTATAAATATGAATTCAATGGAATGCACGGTTCTTTTTTTCCTTGCTGAGAATGTGAGTGCACACTCAGACAAACACAGTCTCATATGGTAGCAGTGAAAACCAAACCACACTCACTGCCATCAAGTTAGTCTGACTCAGTGACCCGGCCGAGCAGACAGGATCGCTGCTTTCAGTTTCTGAGGCCGTGACTCGTTAAAGACGTAGAAAGCACGGTCTTTCTCCCTCAGATCAGCTCATGGTTTGGAACTGCTGACCTTGTGGTTAGCAGCCCAATGCATGGCCACTATGCCACCATGTAGTAATACATGAAAGTAACTTTTTAAGTTTCTTTAAAATCACAGCAACCTTTATTAAATAAAACACCAAAGTACAAGCCTACTGTTTCTTGATATAGTCTCCATCTAGGTCTACACATTTCTGAAGGTGGTTTTCCATCACTCTAACTCTTCTGGAAAGGTGTTGGTCAAAATCGGTCTGCTGAGCAGATAATTAGAGAAGCTGTATTCTGTGTAGAACTTGGATCGGAGGAAGGCTTATTAACAACCTTCAATATGCAGATGGCACAACCTCACTTGCTGAAAATGAGGAGGATTGCAGCCTTCAACATGGATTACAGCTTAATGCAAAGAAAACCAAAATCCTCACAACCGGACCACTAGGTAACATCAAGATAAATAGAGAAAAATGTGAAGTTGGCAAGGATTTCATATTGCTTGGACCCGTAATCAGTCCTCATGGAAGCAGCAGTCAAGGGACCAAACAACGCAGTCCATTGAGTAAATCGGTTTCACAAGACCTCTTTCAACTGCTGAAAAGCAGGGGTGTTACTCTGAGCGCTAAGGCGCACCTTACCTGAGCCATGGTATTTTCAATCACCTAATGTGCATGTGAGAGTGGGACATCGAATAAGGAAGACCAACGAAGAACTGATGCATTTTATAACGGTGCTGGTGAAGAATATTGAAAGCCCCATGACTGCCTAAAGAGTTAACAGATCTCTCGTGAAAGAAATACAATCAGCATCCTCCTTAGAGGCAAGGATGGTGAGATTAGGACATGTTGTCAGGAAAGACCAGTCCCTGGAGAAGGACATCGGTCTTGGTAAAGTAGAGGGGCAGTGACAAGAGAAAAGCCCACGGCAAGATGGGCCGACCCAGGGACTGCCCCAGGCGCCTCAATCGTCAGAGCAGTTGTGAGGTGGTGCCGGGCCAGGCAGGGCTCAGGTCGGTTGTTCACGGGGGTGACTGCAAATTGAAAGCGACTGCATGCACCTCAGAGCAACATCGACTCTCTGCTAAGAGCTCTGTACTGTTTGATTTGCACATCAAAAATGACAGCAGGGACTCAATTCATGTTCCCTTTAAATATTCCTTGAGTTTGGGGAAGACCAAATAGATCTGAAGAGGCAAGATTCAGAGCTGGAGGGTAGATAGGTTTCCCCATGAAATTCTCCAAGGGTGGTCCTTGTTACCCTTGAAGATTGAGCGGGCTCACTATCTGGATGGGGACAAAATCCTTTGATCCAACTTTCCTGGCCTTTTTCTCACCAACGTAGTCTTCAATTTTCTTGAGATCTTCCTGGGAATGAGATAAGCCTTTGAGATCTTCCTGGGAATGAGAAAATGGACCACGATCACCCTTTGGGTTTCTGAACTGACCAGTCCGAACCTTTGGGGTTCTTGAGTTTAACCAGCCCAGCGGATCTCCTAAGAATCCATTCTTTTCTTTCCTTTTCATCCAAAACCATTTTACTAGGAGGTCACACAGGTATCGTAGCATGGTTCAAGCACATCAAGCAGTCTTATACAATTGCTGCCACAGTTTCAAAAATCCTCTTCCTTCTTGAACTTCTTGACATCCGCTCTCTTATAACACCCACCACTCTGTAACCCCCAGAAAACCTTACTTTACGTGCTGACCCTATAGGTTCATCAGTCCTGGGAATCCATTATTTTATTTGGAACTTCTTTTGGGGGAAGCATTCTAATGGAATGGAAGCAAGTGTATTCATAAGAGAACTTGTCTGTAGCCTGTCACAGATCACACAGATGTTTTAGCATGTCTTGTTTGGCATAAGCCTATGTATATATGTAAAACAAGACAGTAACAATACTTTTTTATTTACCCTTTGATGTAAAGGTGAATAACTCTACAGGAAACCTATATTTAAAAAATATGTAGATTGAAAAGAAATAAATCAGTTACCTTAAGATGAAGCTAGGGTAAGGCTATTTATTTTTCGCACACTGACACAGTCCTGCAGGATGTGCTTGCTATTCGATTATGTGGTTCAGTCAGACAACGTAATCGTGTTAAATATTAGTGACATTCCCATTTTAAAATAAGGAAAGTGAGACAGGGAAAGTGTAAGCAATTTGTCCAAGTGTATACAGCTCTGAGTGGAAGAGTCAGAAATCAAACTTGGGTAGTCTACTCCCCTACCCATTTATACCTGCTACATTTTCTTGCACAGTCAGATGCCCAATCAACGTGGATGTTGTTCATGGGATTCTGGTTCACACACTGTCTTCAGATCCAGAAACACATACTGACTCCTGCTTCATGGGTATTTTCATGTAGGTAATGAATTGTTTGCTGGGCTCTATAGCGATTACTGGGGCAGAGACGCTGCCATTTTCCGGAGCTTGGGGCGGCTGAGCCACATGCGCACGGAGCATGACGAGGAGCGCCTGCTCAAAGGTAAGAAGAACACACCAAAACGTGTGTCCACCAACATCTGCAACTACTGAACGCCTTTCCATCTTGACAGCATTAACTAAGTGAATAGAATTTACCATTTTCTCCATATTCTAGGGTGTTTTCTTTTCTTTGTTCAGTCATTTTATTGGGGGTTCGTACAACTCTTATCACAATCCATCCATCCATCCATTGTGTCAAGCACATTTGTACCTTTGTTGCCATCATCATTCTCAAAACATTTGCTTTCTACTTGAGCCCTTGGTATCAGCGCCTCATCTTTCCCCTCCCTCCCAACTCCCCTCTCCCTCATGGACCCTTGATAATTTATAAATTATTTTGTCATGTCTTACACTGTCTGATGTCTCCCTTCACCCATTTTTCTGTTGTCCATCCTCCAGGGAGGGGGTTATATGTAGATGCTTGTGATAGGTCCCCCCTTTCCCCCACCTTCCTTCCACCCCTACCTGTAAGGCTTCCCTTACCACTGGTCCTGAAGGGTTTATCTGTCCTGGATTCCCTGTGTTTCCATTTCCTATCTATACCAGTGTACATCCTCTGGTCTAGCTGGATTTGTAAGGTCGAATTGGGATCATGATAGGGGGTGGGGGCAACAAGCATTAAAGAACTAGAGGAAAGTTGTATGTTTCATGGTTGCTACACTGGCTCGTCTCTCTAGGGTGTTTTCTTATCAAGATTTTGAATAGGACTATGACACATGAAATAACACGTGGAAATGTTTGGCTTACCTATGTTTAAGTCAGTTTCCTTTCATAGTAAGGACTATAAACAAGGATTTGTGTGAAGAAAACAAAGCAATGTATAAAAAATGAAAAATGATTGTGCAATGAGTTGTTTTAATATCAATTGGTAAAATTAAAACATAAATGGTTTTGCTTTGCTTATTTCAGCAGAATCGCAATCCATTTTAAAACAAATTAAGACTCTAGGCCTTGAATTCTTTGTAAGGTTCTCCTTTCATTTCTTTTGTTTTAATGTTTTGCAACACTGTGTATCTTGAAAGAATCTTAGTGGTGCTTTGGTAAAAGCACTTGACTACTAATTAAAACCTCAGCGGTTCAACTCCCCAGTCACTCAAAGTGCTACTATTGGTTGGAATTAAGTTGATGAGTGTTGGATTGTTAGCATATCCAGGTACTGAAATAATTTATGGTGGCATTTAATTATGTTAAGCATCTTTTAAACCTTTAAAATGAACCATCATTAAAGTGATATATTTCACTTACTATCTCAACCAAAGTCCATTTATCTAAATACCCTATACTATAAACATAAAACATAAAATATAACACAGTTTCCGTTTTAAAACTAAGTGATTCCTTTATAGCCAGTTTGGTTTAGATGCATATATAATAATTTGTGAATAGAAGAACGTAATGATAACTTTCCTTACTAGAGTGTACCTACAATGACTTTTATTCAGACTAGCAATTCTCAGAAGATATGGAGATCGCTACATGATTTTTAATGTTCGGTAAAATTTTTCAAGGACATTATTTTATTCTTACATAAAATGATGAGAGTTAAACACTTGGTTGATTTATAATTTATTAGAACTATGTACTTGCTCCTACCCTCTCAAAATATCTATTTCACATTTCATTTTATTTCACTGTCTATAGAACCAAAATTTGTAGGTTCGTATATGATTCCTGACAATGAAGATCGTGATGACAACAAACTGTATTTCTTTTTCACTGAGAAGGCCTTGGAGGCAGAAAACAATGCCCAAACCATTTATACCCGAGTGGGGAGACTGTGCGTGGTAAGGATTGCATTCTCTCATCCGGGAAGATTACTTACTTCAAATTATATTGACACACCTTTCTAAATTTTATAGATTTTCACTTTTAAAATGTTTTCTAGTACTATATCAGAAATAAGAAGTTACTAGACTAATTTTCATCATATCTAGTGAAAGTTAATTTTTAAGAACCTTGCATTTTGTGTGATTTCCCTCATTTGAAGCCATACGGAATAGAAATTGTCTGGGTATGGAGTGAGGAAATTATCTGCAGGTAAGTAGTATCTATTTGCATGCAAAAATGTAAGCTCTTTGCTTATAATGAATTTAACTTGTGTTTTATTACTTTAGTCCACATTCTATATAATTTGCAGGATTATCCAGGAATAATTCAGTTACTTGATTTTGGTGTTGGAAAGAATAAAACTGTCGTCTGATATTTAGCTAAGTTACTTGGGAACATTCAAAACCAACAGAACTATCAACATATTGAAAACATGCATTACTGTGAAATCTAGAAAGACATGTATGAGATTTGGATATGATAATCTTTCAAAAGTTCATGGAAACATTCCATTATCTTTTAATTCCATTTTACAAAAACGTTGGAGCCCCCTTGTATAGGTACGCATTAGCCATAAGGTTGCCATGAATTGAAACCAACTTGATAGCCACTAAGTACAACAAAAACAACACAGGTGCACTTATGCATAGGCGCGCACACACACACATTTCTAGTGTGTGTGTTGTTACATGCCTTGAAGACAGTGTCACCTCACAGTGACTCTGTGCATAGAAAAATAGAATAATGCCTAGCCCTTTTCTTATAACAAGTGTGCCAGTCTCATAACCATTGCCATGTTTGTGCCCATCATGGCATCCACTGTGTCAATCCATCTTGTGGAGAATCTTCCTCTGTTGGATGATTCTCTACTTTACCAAACATGATGTTCTTCTCTAAGTATCGGGCCCTCCTGATGACATGCCCGAAGTATGGGAGAAGGATCACCAGCCTCACGTATGAGGAGCAGCTGGTTGTATTACTTCCAAGGCACATTTGTTCATTCTTCCGGCCTTCTATAGTATATTTAATAAAATTCTTCACCAACACCGTAACTGGAAGGCATCGACTCTTCTTTGGTCTTCCTGATGAATTGTGCCTATGAGTCCATTGAAAATTTGCAGTTTGGATCAGGTGCACCCTAATCTTCAAATAAATAGCTCTGCTTTTTTTTTTTACTATGTTAAGAGATCTTTTGCAATAGACTTACTGAATGCAGTATTTCATTTGATCTCTTGATGGTTGCTTCAATATGTGTTGGAGAAAAGACGGAGGTTGTTAGGGTTTTCATCTTCTTTCGATCCACAGTCTCTTTTCCATTGACCATGATGTTGCTTATTTGCCTAGAGGTGAAGAATTGTGTTTCCTATATATTAGGTGTAATCCATGTCTAAAGCTTCAGGAATTGATCATCAACAGGTGCTTGAGTTTCTCTTTGTTTTCATCAGCAAGGTTGTCCGTCTGTGTATTAAAAGTTGTTAATCATTCTTCCTCCAACCCTGAGGCTGTATTCTTCTTCATATAGTCCATCTTCCTCAATTACTTGTTGCTTGCAGATTCAATAAGTATGGCGAAAGGGCACAACCTAATGCTCACTTTCCCCGTCTTTCTCACTGTTAATCCACTTTTCTAATTGAACGATGGCTTCTTGGTCTCTGTAGAGGCTCTGCATGAGAACAGTGATCTGTTTTGGAATCCCCGTGCTTCACAAGATTGTTTTCATCCATAAATAATCAAATGCCTTTGCATACTCAATGAGACACAAGTAAACATCTTTCTGTTCTCTATTTTCAGGATCGATCCATCTGCTCTAAGGAATCACATCCCTCCTTCCACACGCTCTTCTGAATACAGCTTAGACACTTGGTGACTCCCCGACATTGCACTGCTGCAACAATTTTTGAATTGTCTTCAGCAAAATTTTAATTGTTGTGGTACTGGTGATATTGTTCAGTAATTTCCACATTTTTTTAATTTGCTTTCTTTGGAATTGACATAAATATTAAAGTCCTCCACTCAGTTGGCAAGATTGTTGACCTGCAAATTTCTTAGTATCGATGAGTGAGCACCTCCAGTGTTGCGTATGCTTATCGAATAATTTCTGTTGTTATTTTGTCATTCTGTCAATTCTTGGAGTTTTGCTTCTTTGCCAAATACTTTTTATTTATTCATTTTTTACTGAGTGCATCATGGACTTCTTTCAATAGCATCAATTCTGGATCATATGCCACCTCCTGAAATGGTTGAATAGAAATTAGTTCTTTTTGTACAGTGATGCTGTGCAGTCTTTCCATCTTTCTTTGACGCTTTCTATATTATTTACATTTTGTCCATAGAATTAGTCAATACCACAACTCAAGACTTGAATTTTGTCCTTCATTTCTTTCAACGTGAGAAATCCTGAATGTGTTATTCCTTTTTAGCTTTCTAGCTAAAAATATTTTATATAATTTTTACCTTGTTTGCTGGAGCTGTTCTTTGAAATTTTCTGTTCCATTCTTTTTTCATCATTTTTTCCCTTTGCATTATTTTTCTTTCTTGAGCGACCATTTAACCTTTCTATTTAGTTTTTCATAGTTGATCATTTTTTCCTTAGCTTTAGATGTATATGTTTAAGAGCAATTTTTGGAGTCTTCTTCAACATTCACTTGCTCTTTGTCTACTTTCCTGTCTTTGTAATGACCTTTTGTTTTCTTCAGGTGTGATGGCCTTGCTTATTAATCTATGATCATCTCACACTTCACCGGGTTGCTCTTACTGCGATGCTTTGCAGCTTCTCTTATTACGATGGTTTGTAGAGTCTTCGACGTTCATGGATGTGTTTTAATTTTCTTTAGCTTCTACTTGAACTTGCATGTGAGCAGTTGATCGTCTGTTTTTCAGTCAGCCTGGGACATGGTGCTGGCTGATACTATTGAGCTTCTCAATCATAGCTTCCCATAGAAGCAGTCAATTCAATTCCTGTGTTCTCTAGCCATAGACTTTCACATGTATCATCGCTATTTATGTTGCCGAAAAGGGGGCATTTGCAGTGAATATGTCTTTGTTCTTGCAAAATAGTATCCCCTCACTGACAGCATGTGATACCTGGCATCATTTCTGTCACCGCTACGTGTGTTTCAACTACCTGTCCTTCGTCTTTGTTTTCAGCTTCCACGTTCCAATCCCCACTCATTGGTCTTGAGTGCTTTTCAACCCAAGGGGCTCGATAGGCTTGCAAGTATTTTTTCATAGTTCCATTTTCTCATCATCCAGAAAATAATTCCCAACAGTAACTTTACTTTTTTTCTAACTTTCACATTTCAGGCATCGGTAATTATCAACGCTTTTTGATTGCATGTTCTATCAATTTCAGAGTGCAGCCGTTGATTAGATTCTTTTATTTCTTCAACTTTGTCATCAGTGATTGGTGTATAAATTTGAATAAGAGCCATATTGATTGATCTTCCTTGTAGGTGCATGTATATTATCCCATCACTGACAGCATTGCATTTCTCACAGGATCGATCTCAGAGTGTTCCTTCTGACCAGGAAAGTGATGTCCTTTCTCTTTGGCGTGGCCCTCCGGGCACCGGGGACCATGTGACTGTTTGTGTGCATCTTCAGGAGAGAAAAAAGTCATAGGGGCTCCCACAGTCCTGAAACAGGCGGATTGAGTATACATAAAAGTTAAAAAAATAATTGTATCCTGAAGCCACTGCGTTTATTGAGGGGGCAATACTATACTAACATTCATAATATCTGATATATATATTTCAACAAGAGTAAAAGTGTGTTGGTAAACAAAATGCAAGAACCTTTAAAAAAAGTAGGAGGAGGAAGAGAAGGAGAGAAACCATAGAAAGAAAGCATATGGAAAATTTAAACTATGCAGTTTCTTGAGGATTATAATCTAAATTTTGTAAGATCACTAAAAACCTAAAGAACAAAGCAAGCATAACTCCTTTCATTTGCACCGTAATATTTATCCCAAGCACTGCTGTTGTGGATAGAGTTTTCATACACTCGCGCTGTTTTTTCACAGAATGATGTGGGAGGGCAGAGGATACTGGTGAACAAATGGAGCACTTTCCTGAAAGCAAGACTGATTTGTTCAGTTCCAGGAATGAATGGAATCGATACATATTTTGATGAATTAGGTAAATATTTTGGCAATTACATTGTCTTCTTTGATGTGTTTGCCTTTCTATAACCTCGCTGTCTCTAGTACACGTGGAGAAATTGAGTTCTACTCTATCTGACCTGACAGGATTTAGAGCAAGTCTTTGTTCTTTGGCCTCAGCCAGGTCCCAGGGTGGAGCTGAAGGGGTTGCTGGAACAGAGTCTGTTTCATTATCTTGAGCCAGTGTTTCTGGCTCCTTCCCTGTGGCTCAATTCAAAGCTACTACAGGAGACAAAATTTCCAGTCTGTTAAAATTCAGAAATGTTTTATGATTACACTTGAAAATTTATGTTTCAAAACCTAAAATAGTTTCTAAATTGTCAATACAGTTTCTTTACACCTAGGGGTTGAAAATACCAATTAACGTGTTACGTTTTTTTGCTTTTCAGAGGATATCTTTTTGCTATACACCAGAGACCCTAAGAACCCTGTGATATTTGGACTTTTTAACACTACCAGGTATGTCATTTAGATCGTCAATAAGAGCTATGCGAAACAAAAGATGATTCACAGAGTTCTCACCATACAAGCTCGAAATACTTTAGAGCCAATTGTATTCGTTCTCCTATTGGCAATTGTGATTTACTTTTCAAAACCATAATCCCAATCTAGACCCTTTCTCAATGTACTTCTGACACCCCAGCCTCCTCTTGTGCTCAGTATCCTAAGCTCTTCCCTCTCTAGAACAGCGTGCTTTTTCTCTCTCTTATAGATTGTGAGATGTTAGTCCCGTGCTATAGAGTTTGGGACGATGTTATTCATAATATAGAATTTAGTTTCAGTCAAACTTTTAAGGCACTTTCTCAACTGTTAGCATTCCTGGAAGTGCACATCGTTTCGTGCATAACAGAAGTTTTGTGGTACGCACTTCTTCACGTTGCCTCTACAGACCAGCCTCGCAGTCTGTTTCGAATGGGTCACCCTCCATAAACCCACCGGAACAGGTCAAGCTGGCATATAGAAGAGCATCTTGAGCCGAAATCGACTTGATTTTAATAACAGCAATAGATTTTGAATTATTCTTCAAGGCTCTCCCATTATCTGTAGTTCACTGAGATAATAGCTTGCTAAGTTCCCCTGTCTAATTTTGCTTGCCATCACTTTGTTTCTATTCATTCACTTCTCTTGCACTGATTTATATAGCAGATCTCCAATATTTGTCAATATATTGATTCACAAATGAAAAAACATGATTAAAATCAGTTTGGATTGAAGTTTCCAGTCGCAAAAATCATGTTTTGTATACCTGAGTATGTATTTATATTCTACAGATCTCTCCCGATAAGGTAGAGTGGAGTAGAAATTACTACAACAAGATATAACAAAGAATAGTTCTCTTAACAGGGTAGATTGATATAACTCAGTCCCTCTCTAACATTGCACTGGCTGCTATTACATAGCAATCTATATTGTGCTTGCGTGGGGCCTCTCCAAAGAGCTGTGTTAGGATTTCTCAGCAAGCGATTTCCTGTCCTCATTTTTTGGGGGGAATACATTGATAATAAAATCGGAATAAAACTAGTATCCTCCAATTGTAAAGAAGGCTTTATTTTTAATTTCCCAATAGAAAAACCTGGAAGTACTTTCCCCTATCTAATATTACTTGCAAATAATTGGTCGTGTAAGTTGATAGTTATCACAGCCCATGGAGAGTCCCTAAATTTTATTTTTCAATTTCACCTTCTCCCTTATGCCATCAACACATTTGTACCTTATATGATAATACACACTTTATATAATAAATAAGTGCACTAAATTATGGAATAATCAAGTATAGTTTTCAATGTCTTAGGAGGATTAATTTATAAGCTATTTTATTAAACTTTGTGTAATGGGTTTTTCTCAGAAACCAAAGGTAAGGCATGAGTGTCTTCTAGGATTTCAAGTTTGACTCCCCAATTGAGAAAAAGTCTTCCCAGCTGTTACCTGACATAGAGGTTGATATTTAAAAAATGGTGATCAAAGGTTTATTGCCCCGTTAGTTGGGGTTCTATCTGGATTTCTGAGTATCTTAGATATTTGAAATTGCTTCCAGGTGTGTCATAAAAGGTGTGAATTGATGTCTTAGACAGCAACATGACTGCTGTCCTACAGGCGTCTCACAGTAAAGAAAATTTTATATTTATATAGAACTGCATTTTGTAAGCCACTTGGCTGGGGAAATGTTAGTAGTTCCCCGTGATCATGCCAAATTAATAAATATGACTTGATTATTTTTTAAATCATTAAAATATCCTTTGAAAAAGATTCACACTACTGTTTTTATTCTCTGTGTGGGATCATTTGTATCAAGAAAATTATTTCAATTTCTGCTAGTTATGGGGTGAGGAATGTGAGTTTTGTGTAACTGTCGCATTATCCCTAGAGTAAAAGCGCTCCTCTTAGTCATAGGTTTGTTAGCGTAGCTACCAAGCAGCGGTCTGGTGAAAGGAGCAAACAGCAGGGCTATGACTGTCCAGGTGACCCAAAGCCAAGAATGGGGCCCCGTTCCACGAGACCTGGGGTCACTCGACGTCACGTCCACAGAACAGCACGCGGAGCAACTTCAACAAGCGTGAGGTTCTTAGAACGCTTCGAAGAAGTGAGGATGGCAAGACGTTACCTCAGTACTTTGGGCACATTGCCAGGGGAGCCTGGTCCCTGGAGAAAGACATCCTATTTGGGAAAGTAGTAGAAGGCCAGTTAAAACGAGGGGTAACTGGAGGAATCGACCCCGTTGTCTGTAAAGATGTGCTGAACCACGACAGTGGTGAGGTGGCACGGGGCAGGGCAAGGCGGCCTTCTGTTGTCTCCATGAGTCGATGGCGTCCAACAGCAGCATGCTCATTAAGAGAACATTTTGAAAATGGAACAACAAAACGTGAGATAAAACCTTAAAATAAGGCATTCAACTCAAGAACGAAGGTTTAAAAATAATTGGGCTGGGTGTCCCGTAGCAAAACTTAAAAGATACAACGTTGGATTTAATGACAAAAAGTGAAATTAACAATTAGTTTTGTGATTCCAACAATGTCACTTTTATTTATTAAGCAATTAAGGAAATGTAAATCTTGGAGCCCTCAGACTTGAAGGGTTGCACCTGTTAGTATTTCTGACTATTCCTGAGAGATGTTCACATTTGACCCAGTTCTTGTTTCTTATCTGTGGAGGCTGCGGCTAGGTGGAGTCCTCGTCTGTTACAAAGATGTAATGAGCTTTTTAATGTTTTCCAGTAACATCTTCCGAGGACATGCTATATGTGTCTATCATATGTCTAGTATCCGGGCAGCGTTTAATGGACCGTATGCACATAAGGAAGGACCTGAGTACCACTGGTCACTCTATGAAGGGAAAGTCCCTTACCCAAGGCCTGGCTCTGTAAGTTTAGGCATTTATATTTTAAAGCCTCTTTGCATAATATTTTGTTCACTGTTTCAAATGCTCTACAGACCTTTTCAGTTTAAACAATTAAAAAAATTCGACACCCAAAAGTATGTTTGATTAATGGCATCACAAAAAATGATCACTTCTCATATCAAATTGTACCTTGTTATTTAATGGTCCAAATAAAACCTATAATGGATATATTTCAGTAGTATTATAACGTGTACACTATCACTGGCACTCCAGGTGAGGATTTAATAGCAGCCAGCATCCAAAAGCTCCAACACCAACACCACCAACAACAAAAATTTATGGCATTGGTGAACACGTAAACATCCAATGAAACGAAGACCATATTGCTCCTGGTCCCTTCAGAAGAGTTAATACCTTCTCTGACTCACTTCCAAGAAAGGGAATGTTATCACAATTTTTATATTCTAGAACTTGGGCCAGTCTCTAAGTGCCCAAAGCCAAGCCTTCTCCTTCAGGCACATGTAGCAAACTAAAGACCCTTTGTTCCTCCGCCCCCACTCTGCCCCCAGGACCCAGCGCCTCACTTAACTCCCTTGCTGGCTTCTTCAGAGGAAAAGTGCCAGTACGAAGAAGTGTTACTAAATTTCAGAACATTTTGCTGCTTACTTCTGCCTAAGATTCTCTTTAGGCATCCAGACTTTTCTTCTATGAATTGGCATAAAGTCTAAACATGGTTATTGCTGTTATGTATCATGCATACTGTAGGCAACAATGCGAAGAATATGTAGGATCACTGTGTGTGCTCTGTTGACCACGGGGATCAAACATTTAAGTTGTCATGAAGGCCAACATCCACATGGCATGAGTAGCTGGTGAAATCCCATCACTAGGCTGATTCTATAATTACTTGCAAGTCAAGTAGGAACCGTTTGTGCAGAGCCAAAACCCACAGTGGAAACAAACCATACCTCCATTAACAAGTGTAAGGCTTTACCATTTCAGTCACTCTCTCACTAGCTTAAAATTATTACCTCCAGTAAGACATAAAGTGTATTTCATTTCACTCTGTTGATTGAAATTGCAATTTAAATGGAGAAAACCCACTCCTGTGGCTTTGCTGGAAATGCTTCTTGAAACCACATGGCCTTAAAGGAGATTTGGGGCAAGAGACTAGTTCCTGAACTGCTTCCAGCCTGGTCCAAAATGTTTCCAATTACGTATCATGAAAAAGCCCTCGAGCGAACACTCGGTGCCAAAATAAAGAAATATGGCCCGCTTTAAAAACAGGAACAAGTAATTAAAAAGACCCTCTTTTTGGAACCTGGTCACTAAACTGTATTTAGACTCCAAAGTGGAAAATGTTTATCAAAATAAATGGTTACAAATATTTGGTTGTTCTATAAGAAAATATACTAAATGAGAGAGCTGTGATTAACAAGCAGAAAAAAACAAAGGTAAAGGCATTCCAATTTAATTTTAGAGTTCCTTGATTGAAGAATTGAGATGGGTTGTAGCACATATCTGGGAGGGGGGTTTCATTGTATCTACTCCATACATAAATAATATACATTTGTACACAGTCTTGTAGTAGCACAGAGAGGATAATCTTTGGTTCTCAGTAATTATAAAGATAAAATTTAAACAGATGTATTTCTTACAGAACTAAAATTCTATGATCAATAAGCCAATTTGAACCATCACCGATTATAGTCTCCTCAGTAATGGGAAAGTTCTTTTACGCACTTGTGGTCTTCATTTTAGGGATAAGATTTATCATAACTAAGAAAATTTTTATTGTGATGTAAGCACTATATTATTTACCATAAAATTAATTTATGTTTTGAAAAGAAAATATCAGAAATGAGAGAAAATAATACTAATATGTTATATCTTATTGTCACCCCTGAAATATTCTGGCACTAAATATGCTTCATTTTTCTAGGATTTCATTGTTTTCTAAGTGATTTTAGTGGTGAGTGTTTGGTACAGGTTAGTGTCTCTGCAATTTTGAATGCAAATTCTATTTCTAAAGCAAAGAATGAGAAGGCATTAAATATTTCTAAAGTTGAGAGTAATTGCACATATTCAATGTTGCTGACTGCATCAATCACTGATTATTAACTTGATATTTAGGTTTAAAGCAAAAAGATTTATCAACTATCAACTTGTAATTTCCAGTGTGCCAGCAAAGTGAACGGAGGGCGGTATGGAACCACCAAAGACTATCCAGACGATGCGATCCGATTTGCTAGAAGCCATCCATTAATGTACCAACCCATAAAACCTGCCCATAAAAAACCCATTTTAGTAAAAACAGATGGAAAATATAACATGAAACAAATAGCAGTGGACCGAGTGGAAGCGGAGGATGGCCAATATGATGTCTTGTTTATTGGGACCGGTAAGTGTCTTATTGCTCCTCTGGTATTAAATATACTTCGTTTTTCTAGGCTTTAGTTAGAAAATACTCAACTAAAGATACCTTTAAAATAAAGAACCTTGGCAGTTTTTTCTTAAAGTACCTCTCACTAGTTCTTCTGTTGAACCATTAACCCATTCATACCACTCTAATCCGAAGTAGAAGAGATTAAGCCAGATTTCTTTCCCTGAGTGTCAATACAAGCTGCATTCTCCTTCTCTAAAGTGTCCCAGGATGAATGCTACGTCTGTGATCACAACAGTGCAGATCTGGTGAACACTCAGAGGAATACTGTTTAGGCTGCTCAAGCACATTATATCCTGTGGAAAATTAATCATTTTAATTTGATCTTTGTTCTTCACTTGATATAAATATAAGTGGGATATGTATTAGGTGTGCTTGTATTCAAAAGGGATCGCTTTCGTTCCTTGTCGTCAATACTGAATACATTTGCATAAATAAGGGAAGGGAGGAGTAATGGACGCGGATGGACTTCTCAGCCTGGAAGGCGGGCGCCATTTTTCTTTTCAACGGGGAGCAGCCCTATCAGGAGTTAGCTGTTTACGGAGGCCTTGAGATTTTATAAACTACTTGGGGAAATAACTTTACTTAATTAAATCTATAATTTCAGCAATGCCTATGAGACCCCTATCAGAATCAATCATTTGTATTAAACACATGACATGTGATCCAAAAAGTCTCAAATTATCTATTATAGTTTTGCAGAGGCCACTGTTACAAAGAACAGTCTCAAAAGGAGATAGAAGCTTTGAGCCACCAGCAAGGCATTACTCTGATATAGAACTGATTACCAAGCTCAGTTAGGGGCCATCTGCTTATTCTTTAGTTTGAACGTGATGTCAAGGCAATTACGGTACATATTTATAATGTTGATACAAATTATTAATCAGTTTACAGCCATCTTCTCCTTATCCTGAAGGTTTACATTTGCAAACCATGAACTTCTAATGTTATCTTATACCCTGATTTATTATAAGGCAAATGGGAAGAGGTTTACAAATTTATGTGATAGTAACTAAAAGCAGTAGAATCTCTAGCTAATTTTAGCAAAAATGTATCACATTGCAATAGTTAATACAAAGTTTTATACCCAAACTGGGATGCCCTGCATTAACAAGGCAAATCATAATGAACATGTTTAGAATGTAATTTTTTCAAATATATTTAAAATTTTAATCCAATGCCATATATTAGATGTAGCACATGGAAGACATTTTGGAATCTTCTAGCATCCTGAATCATATGTAGTAAGTTCTGCAAAGTATTTTAAAATTCTATGATCATTTTTAAAGTTTTGGAATGGTTTTTCCATTGTTTTTTCTTTTGCAGCATAGAATTTGTGATTGCTGTTATTTGCCATCATGGTAATTCCTATTCATGGCAAGAGTTTGCCACTCAAGAACTCACTGCCATTGAGTTGATGCTGACTCCGCGACCCTATAGGGCAGGGTAGAATTGCCCCTCTGAGTTTCTGAGACTCTAACTTTCTACAGGAGTAGTAAGCCCTGCCTTTCTTCCAGGGAGCACTGGTGGTTTGCAACTGTCTGGTTAGCAACCCCAGGCATAACCATGTGCCACCAGAGTTCCTTAGAACTGGGGATGCCCGCTTCTACTTAGATGAGCAGTCATTTGTATATGGGCTTTTATTCATAAACATGTAATTCTTAGGGGACATTGACATATGCCCAGAATAGGAGTAAAGACAGAATATGCACTTCTCCAATAACATTTTTAAAGCAACTTTAAAGAAGAAAACATGTATATGATGTCCAGAAACAGATTTTAGTAATAGTAAAATAGTAATACAAGCTACTGGTAGGAGATTAATATTGATGTGTTGCACTGTGGGTTTGAGATTACTGGAACATAAAATCTCTTTAACAAACTTAAAGCTGTTTGGCAATGAACTCACTTCTAGCAGGTTAAAGCATTACATAAGTAAGAGTCATCATGCATCAAATTAATCATGGGGAAATTTTTTTGGGGGGGAATTTTTTAATTCTGTGAAATATTTGGATTTTCTCATCAGAATAACCAAAACTAGTTGCGAGAACTCCAGACATATCAGGTATATACTTCTGCTGTCATGTAAGCCACAGTTGCCTCAGATGAATTAAACTACAATTTTTCAGCACTTTTAAGAGACCTTCTTGATACATAGATAATGCATACAATGTTGGAGACTACAAGTTAGTTGCAAGTCAATAATCTGAATTTTGTACTTGCATATTGCCTGATACGGTTATAGGATATATATTATGTTGTGTGATATTCAAAGCAGATGATAATTTTTGCTTCTTTTAGTTAGTTTACTGGGTAGGTCATTGCTTTTAATATAATTAAAATCAGTTTTATTGACTCAAGCATGGATTTAGATATGTTTTAAAGCACACTGTTTAAATACTACAGGAACTCTTGTCTCAACATTTCTAAGCTCACTGACATTTTTTTACTGAGTTATTATTTCTAGCACTGTAGCAATTTTGGGAGGCAGGATTGAACTTTTATTGCACTTTTCATCGAAGAAAGAAGCTTAGAAAGTAGAAATGATAAAAATAAGATGGAACTGGAAAATACTGAAATAAAATGGTAAAAGCAGTCAATTATGGAGCTAAGTGATAGGTATGATTCATTAAACACCATTTTCTCAATAGCATATGCTTGAAATTTTTCTTAATAGGCAATATGTGTATATAGAATATAAGGATTTCTACAGGGTGCCACTTTGAAAGGTTTAGTCAAACTAAAGGTACCAAATGTTAAAAAAAGTAAGTAGATTTCAGTAAGAAATTTTCTTACAAACTAGAATAATTTGTTATCTCTCTTATATTTTGCTAAAGCTATAAGATTTTTTTTAAATTTTGAACTTTTCATTCAACCTTTAGACCAAATATTTGGCAAAATGTGTATATTTTTTGTACACTTTTTCTTGTTTAAAAGTTTTGCCATTTGGTGATATTTAAGTGGCCATAATTTCTGTCAGATAATTATTTTTAATCAACAGTTCTTAAAACATTTCACCCATTTAAATTTCAATTTTAAAAAATTAATTGGTTTTTTAGTAGCTGTAGCACTCAGCTTGCAACTGAAAGGTCAACAGTTTGACCCCAGCAGCCACTCCCTGGGAGGAACCTGGAGCAGTCTGCTGTCAGGAGAGTTAATCCCGGGAACCGTACAGGGAAGTCCTGCTTGGTCCCACAGGGCCACTGTGGGCCAGAATCAACCCAACAGCCCACACGATGAGTACTAAGTTATTAATTATGTAAAAATCAGATGATATCATAGCTTTGAGTTTGGGCTATGTTTTATCTCTTCTCTACTTTCTTACAGACAATGGAATTGTATTAAAAGTAATAACAATTTACAACCAAGAAACAGACTCAATGGAAGAAGTAATCTTAGAAGAACTACAGATATTCAAGGTATTTTTAGTTTAAAAGTTAGCCAAAATGCATGATTTACAGAAATCTGTAAGTGAAACGTAAATAGAAAAGACTATTTTTTTCTCTTCAAACTGCTGTGTTCCACAATCAGAGGGAATTGGAGAATGACTTAAAAATCCTAGCGCATATTTTATTATCATAGCCAAACAAAAACTCCCTGCCATCAAGTGGATGCTGACTCAGAGTGACTCTCAAAGTCAGGGTTGACCTGCTCCTGTGGGTTCTGAGATTGTAACTCTTCAGGGAGTAGAGAGCCTGGTCCTCCTCCCAAGGATCAGTCAGTCATTTCAATCTTTTCCCCATAGCACAGCCGGTAGTTTCAAGCTGTTTACCTTGTGGCTAGCAGCCCAAAGCTCAAACAGTAGGTCGTCCAGGCTCCTAAAAATCAAATTCACTGTCATCGACGCCGTGTGCACTCATAGCAGCCCTATAGAATCTGGACTCATTATTTCAAAGTTGCATCATCTACAAATGCCTATCAATATAGGCATTTTTTTCTACTCAACATTATTTTTGTATTGTTGGTATGGTAATGACATAAGTATCTTGCTTTTTATATTAACACTTGGATTTCATAGAAGACTTATTCCAAATAGGAACATAGGGAATAATAGCTGAAAGAGTAGAGATGCAAAAGCAATGACATACAAGGAGCTTTTAAAATGTTCATGGGAAAAAAACTGTTATATTTTCATTTCATTTTGCCATCAACTTTTTAAAGCCCCCGTGTATATAGCATTTCAAATTTTGTGTCCTAGAGATTACACATTTTTTAGAGATGTACACATACTGTCATCATCTTATCTCAACTAGAATAGTTATGCTTATTTATTTTGCATACGAAGTCTCCAAGTGAAAAATAATTTTATGTTAGGAATCCTAACTCTCATACAAAGGGGCTTCCAAATTTGGTGGAAAGTGGGATTTAAGGATCATGGAAATTGTCCATGAAATTTTGAAGCTCTCGTCACATTTCATAAAAAAAAAAAACTTTGTTATTTGAATATAAAAATAAATGAACACATGCGTACATGCAGAAAGGATTCTGGTTTGAAAAAATGTAATATAAATTGATAGAGATATATAAAGTATGAGATAGAGGATCAAACATCAACTCTTCTAAAACATAATCTTCAAAGGGGAATCACAGGGTTGGTTCTACCTGCTTAGGATTTCCCTACTTGCAGAATTGACTAGTGTCTTGTGCTCCTATGGACGCTCTGGTCTTAATGAGTATCCTTAACATTACCTTTGGCTTTCAAAGTCAAGTGATCTAATTTCTTCTCCTGGAGCAAGACAAATTCATCTTGTTCAAAGCATTCTGGGTTCCTAGTAAGTGACCACACACTCCAGCAGAAAAGTATTTTGTATAAGCTTGTGTTAAAATGATTACAGAGTACATAGTTTATTAGCAATATAAACTTTTAAGAGAGTAAACTGTTTGACTTCCAATGGCACAATTACTTTATGAAAAATAGCACTATGACTTTGTTCTTTTATTTGAAGGTACTGAGTTTCCAAAGCAGGAGTAATCTTCTAAGGCAAACACAAAAATCGCATTCCAAGGACGAATGAAAAGCTGCTTAGATTATACCTTGCTTTTCACATCTCCATAGCTGTTCTGCTCCATTAATAAAATAAGAAGTAGCTACAATTTAATTGTATCCTATTTGCATACAGATTTACTAAAACTGAAAGCCCTAGATACTTGGCACAGAGCCACTTACATTATACTAATATGATTTCAGGGGACTTAGGACCATATTTAGGTAGATTTTCAAACACAGGCAGACCTTATTTACAGGCATCTAATTGAAGGGTAACTTGGACTTGTTTACATTTGTTGTTTATATTTAAAACATTGTAAGCATGATTTTATATAAATGTGACATGACTTTGAAATATTAAAACAATTATGCTCAAAAAAGACAAAGAAAAGCAAAACCTTCGTGGCCCTAGAGGACCGACCAGAAGTGCCCCTTGGTGTTGCTGACACTTTAAATATCAACGGGAGCAACCACTTCACTGTCTTCCTTGGAGCAAGGGGTGGGTTTAAACCGCCGACGTTCTGGTCAACAGCTCGCAATCAAGCTCACTACAGCCCAGGGCTCCCTGAGTTCATGACGTTCAAGCTCACAGACCAGAAGAACCATCTTCACCTGTGGGCCTCAGCTATAAAATCCACTTAAAATATTAAAGACGCTGTTAAGAATGGGCCTCATTCAAAAGATAGGGATAAACCTGTAGTTTATTTCTTAAAAAAGGAAAATGTTGTTTCTTTGTTTGTGTCCCTACCCTACCCCCCAACCAGGACCCAGTGCCTATTATTTCGATGGAGATTTCTTCAAAGAGAGTAAGTCTATGTGCATGTGCCCGTGTTTCTGTGTGCATGCTTATTCTATACAGCAGTTACACAGTAGAACCCCGGACCTCAACACTAATCCATTCTAGACGGCGCATCGAGATGCGAGGCAGTCAAGTACCGAATTAATTTTTCCATATGAAATAACTGAAAGCGGATTAATACGTTCTCGACCAAGTTTTCACCCTAACCTTGCCTTCTTATACAAAACATGACACAGAAATTTCAAAGTAAAGAACTTAGAGTTAAATCACATCATTTAAATAAGAAACACAACATGAAAAAACGTTTTTTTTTTAACAACGACAGTATGGGCCATACCTTGAGACTGATGAGGATCTGGCTCTGTGGACACGGATGTGGAGAGGAGGAATGGAGAGAGAGTCATTGTTGGGAAGGGGAATCCCCTTCCATCAAATCCACTGGGAGCTGCTTTTCAGGAGTTTTCTCCCTTCTTTGCCTTTTTTCACTCGGGCCTAGCTGGCTTTCTCTCTGTCAAAAAAAAACACAACTCTGTCTCATGAGGTCTGCTGCTGGTGTTCCTGTAACTGTATTCTAAAAGGGCTTACTAAATTGTCATCCACAATATCGATAACACGGTTAACCAGTTCCTTATCATGATGATGCTTTTCAAAAAACTCTTTCCTAGGACCCATGCTTTTTATCTGAAAACAGTACAAAAAGCCACAAAATCTAAGAAAATAGTAGCAAAACGCTTGCAACACAGCCACAAAAGTTTTAAACAACGCGTACTAACAAGGCCAACTATCGCCAGGTGACCGAAACACGAACTGCTTTTGTTTACAAGAATCCATGATTCCGGTTGGATTCCGATGTTTTGTTCAAGCTCCGATGCACAATTTTCTTGACATTTCGCATAGAAATCTGATTATGTCGAGTACTGATGCGGTCGAATACCGGGGTTCTACTGTACTTAAAGGATATACTAGGATTGATACATTTGCTTATCTATGGATTTATTTTGCTTGTCATGGTTTGATTATGACAAAATATTTAGCAGTGTACATTTTATAAATGTCTTCATGTTCTACTTTTGGAAAGAAGCAGATGAGTTATTTAGTTCTAAAGTCTTTGGGGGTATTATTTCTTAGCTACTTCCAGCTTGTGTTTTTGAACAAAGAATAGTGACCGTCCTGCCTCATAAAGTGTGCTGTAAAACCTGTCTCCTTTCTACTTTACAGTCGCTGTTATCTACTGTGTCTCTAGAACAACATCCATTAAATATCTGGCTTATATGTATTTATTTATTTAGAAATAACTTGTTTTTAAGGTGAGGTGACACATACCATATAGCATGCTCTATAACATGTATTTTCATTGATTAAAGTTGCTATTTTTACTTAACACCACATTCCTCCTCATGGTTACTCTATTTTTGCAGGCATGGGGTTTTCAAAACTTTGACCTTCTGAAAGCCAGGCCTTAGTGCCCCTGGTGGGCACAGGACTGGGGCTGGGTTGACCCACCAAAACCAAACTCACCACTCTTGAATTAATTCAGATACAAGTGTCCCTAGAAAGCGTTTCTGAGACTGTAGCACTTTACAGCATCATAGTTTCATCTTTCTTCCACTATATGGTCGGTGTGCTTGAACTGCTAACCTGTATTTACCAGCCCAATGTACATTCCACAGGGCCACCAGGGGTTAGAGTTTGTTGCTTAGATACTACACCACACAGATACTGCTTTATGCATCACATATCAGCATTTACAGACAGTTGACTTCCCAAGTCTCTTACTGGGCATCCCTAAAGATCTTTAAAAGAAGACACGAAGTGTCTACAAAATCTTTCTTAGAATAGATAGCTTTGTAAATTCTTCTGAAACTCAGTTTGGTAATTTTGATATTCCTACTTATAAGTTAATAAAAATATTTAAAATCTTGAGGAAATGAAAGTGTCAATGACCCATTATTTACCCAAACAAGTGCTACAATTTAAGTGAATATTCACTGGCGTGTAATATTTACATTGTAATTTAAATGAATATTCACTAATACGAACAATTATAGAAAAATCCTCCCCAATTGATGGTAGTGGTCTCTCTCTTTGGTTTCTATAGCAACAGCTGTACGTTGGAGCTGATTCTGCTGTGGCCCAAGTCAGATTCCATCAGTGTGACATGTATGGAAGTGCTTGTGCTGACTGCTGCCTGGCCCGAGACCCTTACTGTGCCTGGGATGGCATATCCTGTTCCCAGTATTACCCAACAAGCACCCATACAAAAAGGTGAGACAGCATTTGGTGGAATATTTATATTATATAGGAAAGCCCTATGTATGTGTTTACATGTGCTGCAAATACATCCAAATACAGAATGTGCAGGAGGCAGGTTTATAACAACTTCTTAACCACAACTAAAAGCATTGACCAAATTTAGTGCTGAGCCTGGGGGCTCAGGACTATAGTCTCAGGGGACATCAGATCACTTGGTATAGGATAGTCCACAAATGCAATGTTCTGCAACCTACTTTGGTGAGTAACTACTGGGATCTTAGAAGCTTTTGAGCAGCCATGTAAGGTGCAACTATCGGTCTCTCATCTGAAGCAAAGAATAATAAAGGACAACAAACACATGGAAGAAATTAGTCAAGAGGACTAAGCATACCATGGTACTGTCAGAATCTATGATCATAAGACCAATCCTATCAACTAGCCTGAAAGGAATCATAGTAGAAGGTCCTGGATAGAATGGGTGAAAAATATGGGACAAAACTCAAATGATGAAAGAGACCAAGCTTGAGAAAGACTGATGGAACTCTCCAGACTACGGCCTTTAGACATCCTTCAGTCCTAGACCTGAAGTAACTCTAGTGGCTCAATGTTCAGCCAAGCAACAGACTGACCTCTAAGGTGTACAATGACTTCAAGAAAGGATGCACCCCTTAGAGCAAACAACCACGCAAGGTCAGAAGGGCACCATCTGCCCAGGGTTTAAAAGCTGTGAAGTCAAGAAGGGACAGGTTAGAAGGATGATTAGAAAGAGTAAACTAAGAGTGTCTTTACTTTGTAAGGGCTGCAACCAATGTAATGAATCAAAATGTATATAAATTGTTGAATAGGAAGTCAATTTGCTCTGAAAACTTCCACCCAAATCATAATAAAATGCTTTAAGTTAAACTAAAAGGAAAAGAAATGTTAGTTGGAGAAAAACATCAGTTGGGATTCAAGGATCTTGTTTCTCAACTCATTTAGCAGCACCCAATAACTACAGTAAAGTATCATTCATTCTGAAAGAGTGGAGTACTTTTAATTGTCAAATGACTCAATTACATCACATTGTATGATGGATAGAAATAAAATTGTAGTTGATTTTCTGTAGAACAACAGTGTAGTTAGAGGAATTTAGAGAATATGTTTAAAACCTACCAGGACTTTCTAATAATAGATGTTTTGATAATCCATGGACTTGTCCATTTAATACCCAGGAGTATTTAAAGATGTGACTGGTTCTATAGGCTCTGTGTGTGTACGGAAATGTTTGCAGGGATGATGACAGTTGATGACAGGTACCATCAAGTCAGTTCCGGCTCATAGCCATTCTATGAACAACAGAGCAAAGCGCTGCTGGGTGCAGCGCCACCCCCATAATGGTTTTTGTGTTTGAGCCTGTTTTTGCAGTCACTTTGTCAGTGCATCTTTCGAGAACCTTGCTCTTTGTTTCCTGCCCCTCTACTTTACCAAGCACAATGTCCTTCTCCAAGGACTGGTCTCTCCTGACATGCCATGTGAGATAAAGTCTTGCCACCATTGCTTTTAAGAACCATTATGGCTATACTTCTTATAAGACAACTTTGTTGGTTCTGCAAGCCATGGTAGTTGCAATGTTCTTCACCAGATTCACAATTGAAATGTATCAGTTCTTCTCTGGTCTTTCTTATTCAGTGTCCAACTTTCGTAAACATATGAAGTAATTGAAAATACCATGGCTTGGGCCAGACATACTTTAGAACTCAAAGTAACAGCCTTGATTTTCAAACCCTTAAAGAGGTGTTGTGCAGCAGATTTACCCGATGCATTGTGTCCTGGGCTGACTTTTTTATAGCTTCCATGAGAAAGATAATTGGAAATTGTAAACTCAGGGAGTTTCCAAATAAGATGAAATCTTTGACAACACCATTCTTTTCTCCCATTTATCTTGCTTTTACCTATTGATCCAGCTGTGAAGATTGGGTATTCTTTGCTTTGAGTTATCCATACTGATGGTTATAATCTATGATCTTCATCAGCAAGGGTGTCAAGTCCTCCTCACTTCCAGCAAGCAAGGTGTGTCATCTGCATATTGAAAATTGTTAATAAACCTTCCTCCAATCCCGATGCCAAAGTCTTCTTCATATAATTCAACTTCTCTGTTTATTTGCGTAGCATACAGATTTGATAAGTGTGGTGAGAGGCTACAACCTGGACACACACCTTTCTTGATTTAAAGCCATGCAATATTCCCTTGTATTTGTTAGTACAGTTCTTGATCCATGTACAAGTTCCTCATGAACACAATCAAGGGTTCTTAAACTCCCGTTCTTTTCAAAGCTATCCATACTTTGTTATGATACACAGAGTTAAATGAGTTTGCATAGTCAATGAAATACAAGTTAACATCTTTCTATTATTAGCTTCTTTCAGCCAAAATTCATCTTACGTCAGCAATGATAATCCTTGTTCCATGTGTTCTCCTGAATCTGGCCTGAATCTCTGGCAGCTCCCTGTCAATGTACTACTGCAACCATTGTTGGATGATCTTCAGCAAAATTTTACTTGCATGTGCTATCAGTGAATTGTTCTATAATTTGAGCATTCTGTTGGGTCACCTCTTTTTGAAATGGACACAAATAAGGCTCACGTCCAGTCAGCTGGCTGTCTTCCATCTTTTCTGGCATAGTTGAGAGTATGCTTCCAGTGCTTCATCAGCTTGTTGAAGCATTTCAGCTCAAATGTATCGTTGTCTCTTGCTCACGTGCTATGTCTTGAAATGGTAGAATAGTTATTTTTGGTACAGAGACTATGTTTGTTTGCTTTTTCCATTTTCTCTTGATGCTTCCCACATCATTCAATAGTCTTCCCATAACGTCTTTCAATATTATAACTCGAGGCTTGAATTTTTCCTCAGTCCTTACAGCATTTAAGATATGTTGAGCATGTTAATTCTTTTTTGTTTGTTTGTTTTCTAGGGCTGTGTACATTTCATTATGATATTTCACTTTGCCTTCGCAAGCTGCCTTTGACATTTTCTGTTCAGCTCTTTGGCTTCGTCCCTTTCTTCCTTGCCTACTCGATGACGAGGAACAAGTCTCAAGGTCTCTTCTCACAGCCACTTTGATTTTGCTTTCTTCCTCTCTCTTCAATGATTTCTTGCTTTCTCCATGAATGATGGTCTGGATGTCCTCCCACAGATTCCGATGTTTTGTTCGAGCTCCCATGCAAAATTTTCACGACATTTCACGTCCAAATTCGACTCGGTCGAGTACTGATGTGGTCGAGTACCAGGGTTCTACACTGTAGACAGCATTGTACTTCAAAATAAACCTTGAAATGCCCTTTTGAAGATGAACGCAATGGCATTCCTCTTAGTTGCTCCATTCCCAGCACAGTAAGCCATCTGATCTTCTGATTCAGAATGGCCAATCGAGTTCATTTCAGCTCACTAAATGTATACCACTTCATTTTATTAATACATTTCTGCAGCTGTTTCATCTAATTCTGAGTGATTCCCCATCAGCAAATTAAGGTCTGAAAGGCTTTATTTCCTCCATTCAAGTCATTATGGTCCACTGAAACTTTCAGAAGGCAGCTCTTCCTCCATCATAGTTGAAGTGCCTTCTGACCCGAAAGGCACATCATCTTGCGTTACCTTTGACAAAGTTCTGCTTCTATTGATTAGGCCCTCAGGATCTGATAATGTGTCCGTGCTATGCCTAAGGTTCCCAGGGGCTAATTCCTCCGAAGTGAACAGCTGATTTCTTCTTCTTAGGCTGGGAGCTCCTCTGAAACCGGTTTCCTTTGGTTGACCCTGCTGGCACGTGAAACGCCAGCGACACGGCTTCCTGCATCACACCGCACAATATCACAGCAGCACAGCCCACCACAGACAGGGGGGGATTTGCAGCATTATCCTCATACTTATATACCAAGGATAAATATAAGCAGTAAAGAAATCTAATTTTCATTGTTTATGTGTTCATAATTTAATTTCATAACATAAAATTCAAAGCCCCCAAACTTGAAGTTTCCTGAAAGTAAGTTCATGAACCATCAGCTGCCAATACTGGAAATGGACCTGCCGTTTTGACTTTTCTTTGTCCGCCCCGGTTTGGACAACTGCTCCCATTTAGGAATTTTTGCTGCAAGACATGCAATGTGTTTAGATCAATGTAAATGTGGAAATGGTAAGCTACCACACACGAGGGATTCAAGGACTTAAAGGGAAATAAATAAATAAACTCTAAAATACATCCTGCATTTGCCCTGTGTCCTTTCTACCAGCTGGTCTTCATTTATTTCATTTTGAAAGTGAATATTTTAACTCCTAGGCAAATGCATGACCTGTATAATTAATGAAACGTGTGATTTAATGCAACACAAATGGAAGACACTTAAGGGCTTCCAACGTCTATTGTGTCGAATTCAGAGAGGTCAATGCTATTCCTTAGCGATGGTGAATCCCAAGATCCTTTGAACGGGAGATTTTGAGAGGAAGAAGGAATTTAATGATAAAGCTGTTTCGCCACTCAGCTTTTAGGAAGTGTGCTGACTTCAAAGGGACATAGTAGGCAAGGGAGAAATAATTTTATTCCTTCTGAGATAGGCCATGATTTTCTTCGACTAATAAGATGACTGGAACCATAGACAGCAACAATGTGGAGCAATTTCTTCATGGAAAGAAGATTAGACTAATTTGGTTTTTCCCAACTATTTCACTTTGGACTGCTTTTCTTTAATTCTTTTTAAATTCAGATTTAAACTATTTTAGTGTAACTGCTATTTGTAATACATTAACATCTATAATATGAATTCATTAAAAATAAAACAAAACTACTAATTCAAACTTTTGTTAATCTTGTCTACGATTAATTGATGTTGCAATGACATTTTATTAAAAATATTAAAGCTAATAAGCAGATAGTGAAACTTTTTTATTCTAATGAACAAATTAATTTAATTTGTAAATATTATTTTAAAATATATTATCCTATTAAGCAAATGATTATACTATACAGAAGGGGAATGAAGAAACCATCACAGCCCCTTATCTCTAAGAAATCACAACTTCGTGTGGAGGGAATTGTAAATGATGATAATAATAGCTCATCATTGAACACTTAATATTTAATAAACTACTAACAGTAAACTGCACAATATAGTTAATAATCAAAATAACTCAACTTTTGAGCTCCATATTTAAAATTAGAGATAGAAGCAGATTCCAGTTAAAGATAATTAATTGCTAGTTGGGAGCATAGAGTGTTCAGGAACAACTGTGAAATTCCCTGGGTCAGGATTATAGTAGCAGAATCTGAAAGTGACAAGGTAATTTTAACCCAAATAACAATATTTATTATTCTATCCTTATTAGCAGTAATAATAATGGCCACCAGCCTCATACCACATACTTGTAGATAACAAATATTGTGTTAAAATAAAATGTGCATGCTGATGATGAACAATGAGCAATTTCCATAGCGAAGTATTCCTTAGCACTTGGTGCATCCTATAAAATTGAACAAACATGAATTTGTTAATATATTTTAAAGGTGGAGGAAAATTATCATGTGGAGAGAGTTTAATGAATGGGCAAGACGACAGGCAGGAAGGGGTGAACTGCTGGAGCTAGGAGCCGCATGCATCGATGGATTAATTCAGTTCCGTGACACGGGGACCTTTCAGTGGTGTCAGATTCTTTTCCGCCATCACCCGCCCCTGGAGGATACTTTCTGGACCTGACCCAGCACACGAAGGGAAAATAGTTTGCTTTTGTTACGGATCATTTTTGTTGCGTACCTGACTTAAAGGAAAATTTCAAAACTGGCTGGTAAAAGAAATACTTTTTCTGTTCACAGAGTGAAATGAGTTAACAGGGGGAAAATATTAATTCACAACCCAAACCACTTGTTTAAAGTAGTCTTCCAAAATACACAACCACTTATAGAATGAGGTATTTTCCTTGCTCTGACATTTTGTCTATTTCCAGTGCTTATTGAAAAAAAAAAAAAAACTTTGGTCAACCTTTATCGTATCTCTTTTTGATCTTAAAGCACCCTGCCATTCTTTCTCATGCTGAAATACAGAATGACTCTATATTGCTAGTCAATGACCTGATCCCTTGCAGGAGGAGAACTTTTCTTTTAAAATGCATCCTGACTCACAAGTGTCGTTGAGTCGACACTGACTCATGGAGACCCTATAGAACAGAGTGGAACTGCCCCTTGGGTTTCTAAGACTGTAACTCTTTACAGGAGAAGAAAGGCCCATGCGAACTACTGACGCTGTGGATCACAACCCAGCACAGAACCACTATGCCACCAGAGCTCCTCCAGGGCTCCTCCTCCTTCGTTTAAACCAACATTGTGTGGGTTTAGCTTATTGTTCGCATTGCTTGTCTATGCACTCCATAGCTCTAGAATTATCTGACTGCAGTTCACTTCATTTTCACATCACTTGACTCGTACTAGACTTTACACAGCAGGATTCTTGCAAAAAAAAGTTTCATTGATTTCAAGAATACTAATTAGTCATTATTGTAGAACAGGCTTTAGATTCTCAATAATATCAAGGCCTAGACATAGGTCATAATCCTAAACATTTTATGGGGTGACTTCATCTAACTCACATGTGATAAAATGTACCAGACCTTCACAGAATATTGTCAATATTTGATGGCAGCAATGGAAACCAAAATTGGGTGGGAAATGAGATGAAAGGATTATGGGTGTCATTTGCACCAAATTCAGTTTACAAAGGATAATATAAGAACCAGGAAAAGAAAGAGAGCTGCATGAGATGATATAGCATGTGGGTGAGGGCATTGGTATTCGTATCTGTGTCCTTCCTGAAATTCAGCTAGAAAGCTTAAATATAATTAAAATTACTCATTTTGCTTGTTTGCTTCTTTGGAAGCTGCACTCATGCCCTCAAAGGTAAAACTCCTGATTTACTTTTTACCCATTAGTCAACCATTGTCTCCTGTTTTTCTCTTAAGTTTGAGGAAATTCTATGAAAGAAACAATGGTATTTTCTAACTTATTTAGTATTTCCGTTTGTATCTCTAACTTGAATTACGTATGTTTAAGGTCTTGACTTAAGAATTCTAGTCCTTATAAGAATAATTCCCATGTTGTTGAATTCCTCAAAAAGTCACTTACACATTTGAAATCTGATACATGATCTAGAATTATTCTTCTTCAACATGTTGTTGTTGCTAAGTGCCATCAAGTCCGGTTTGACCCACAGAAACCCTGTGTACAACAGAGGGAAACACTGCCCGCCCTCCGCCATCCTCCCAACTGTTGTCACTTGCCACTGTGTCACTGTGTTGAGGGCCTCCCTCTTTTTTACTGCCCTGCCACTTTACCAAACATGATGTCCTTCTCCGGAGCCTCATCTCTCCTGATAACATGTCTAACGTTCCTAAGACAGAGTTCCATGATCCTGGTTCCTAAGGAGCATGCTGGCTGTTCTTCCAAGACAGACTTGTCGGTGCCTTTGGCAGTTCACGGTGCTTTCAGTATTCTTCACCAGCACCATAATTCGAATGCATTCATTCTTTTCTAATCCTCCTTATTCAGAGTCCAACTTTCATATTGCATATGAGGCAATTGAAAACACCATGGCTTGATCAGACACACCGCTCCTCATGGTAATGACTTTGCTTTTCAACACCTTCAAGAGGTCTTACGCAGCAGATTTAGCTAATGCAACTCTTCTATTGATCTCTTGACTGCTGCTTCCATGAATATTGATTGTGTATCCTAGCAGCACAAAATCTCTCACAACTTCTGCCTTGTCTTTGTTTATCATTGTGCTACATATTGGTCTAGTTGTGAGACTCTTAGTTTTCATATTGAATTATAATCCAAATGGAAGGTTGCAATCATTGATCTTCATCAGGAAGGACTTCAAATGCTCTTTCAGCAAACAAGGTTGTGTAATCTGCATATTGCAAGTTGTTAATAAGACTCCTTCCGACCCTGATGCCACACCCTTCATATAATCCAACTTCTCTGTCGGCTGGCTCAGCATACAGATTCACTAAATATGGCGAGATGATGCAACCCTGACGCACATCTTTCTTGATTTCCAACCATGCGTGTTCTCTCATTCTGTTTGCACAACTTCCTCCTGATCCATTCACAGCTTCTGCATGAGCACAATGAAGACTTCTGGGATTCCTATTCTTCTCAAAGCTTCCTGTAGTTTGTCGTCATCCACACCATTTAATGCCTTTGCATAGTTAGTAAAACACAAATAGACATCTTTCTGGTATTTTATGCTTTCATTAAAGATCCATCTGACATCAACAATAATCTCCTTTGTTCCACAATCTCTTCTGAATACCATCTGGACCTCTGGTAGCTTCCCATCTATGTACTGCTACAACCATTGCTGGATGATTTTTGCATGTGAAATTGAAGATATTATTCTATAGTTTGAGCATTCGGTTGGATCACCTTTCTTTGGAAGGGAGACAAATATGGATCTCTTCCAGTTAGTTGTCCAAGGAGCTGTCTTCCAAATTTCTTGCCTAGACAAATGAGTGCTTCCAGTGCTGCATCTACTAGCCGAAGCATTTCGATCAGTATTCCATCATTTCCTGGAACCTTGTTTGCGGCCAATGCCTTCAGTGCAGCTTGAACTGCCTCCCTCGGTGTCACTGGTTCTTGCCCACATGCTACCTCTTGGAATGATGGAATGACGACCAGTTCTTGTTGATATAGTTACTCTGCATATTCTTTCCTTCATCCCTTGGTGATTCGTGCATCATTTGATATTTTTCTCATAGATTATTTCAATATTGAAACTAGAGGCTTGACTTATTTTTCTCCAGTTCTTTCCGTTAAAGAGATGCTGACCTTGCTTTTCCTTTGGCTTTCTAATTCCAGGTCTTCGCACATTTCAGTGTAAACTTTGACTGTCTTCTTGAGCTGGCCTTTAAAACATTCTATTTGGCTCTTTGACTTCATAATTTCTCCCATGTGCCTTAGCTACTCTATGATTCAGAGCCAGTTTTAGCATCTCTTCAAATCTCCATGGTCGTTTTTTTCTTTCTTTCCTGTCCTTTTAATGACCTTTTGCTTTCTTCACGTAGGATGTTCTTGATGTCCTCCCACAACGCATCAGGGCTGTTGTCATTGGTGTTCAATGCAGCAAGTTTGTTCTTGCGATGTTCTCAAATTCGGGTGGGACAGACTCAGGTTTGTAATTTGGCTCTCGTAGACCTGTTTTAGTTTTCTACAGCTTCAGCCTGAACTTACATAAGAGCAATTAATTGCTGGTCCATTTCAGTTGGCCCTTAGCCTGATGTTAACTGCTGGTAATGAGCTTTTCCTTATCTCTTCTCCATCATCCCTTAATGGTTACAGAACAGAATTTTTAGATTAAGGCAACTTTATGAAAACTTTATTAAAATAGTCTGCCTTGCTGTCTTTAACTACACCCATCTCTTACCAAACACGATACTTATTTATTTCGGACGACCTTGTTGAACCAGTGTTAACCAAATGTAAAGGAAACCTTCTTAGATGATCTCAAATCCCAAGTTCAACCTTATATAAACATTCAAAGAGTATTCCTATGTACCTATTAACCATTGAAAAACACTCCGTGGAAATATAGAAAACTATGAAACTTAGATTTTATCCTTGTTTGGTATAACTAATCAATTTTTTCAGTAGCAGAACACTGCTTGAGTTTTTAATGCAGTTGGCTACATTTTAAAGTCTGGAAAATCAGAATCTGAACCGCTAAATGCGTTTACTTTTTTTTTTTTTTTCAGGCGGTTCCGCAGACAAGATGTTCGCCATGGAAATGCAGCTCAGCAATGCTTTGGACAGCAGTTTGTTGGTAATCCATAGAAAATCGATTGCTATGCGTTATAGTACACATTGAAGATAAACTGCAAACTTCTCAAAAAGGGAGGCCTTGTTTTCTTTCAGACTGAATATACTAGAGAAATGTTACTGAAATTGTTCTCTTTTTTTCCTTCCAAGTAGTTAAAAGATAAGGGATTTGACATATAATTATTTTACATAATTAAAAAATATGTCTGTACACCACTCCCAAGATTTAATTCTGGCCCTCACAAGAGGTGCGTCTCAGAATGAAAAGGTTGTGTGCTGATTGGGCAGCTAATGTCACAGTGAAAGACTTCTCTCTTCAGTTTTTCACCATATTCTATATAATTTGAGATTTTTTTTTCATGAGTGATATAACTTGTATCAAATCACACATTGTGCTAAGAACAGCGTCTGCTTAGGCTGAAGTTGATGGCGCAGCTGTGGGAATGAGACAGTGGGTTGTCGGTGATCTGACATGGAAAGGACTAGAGAAAATAGCTTTAGACAACTGGAACCAAGTCAAGGAAGACAGCAAAGCGCAGGCCTGAATCGACAGACATCAGTCACAGAAATTGGTGGCAAGCTGCGGGCAGAGTCCCTGGGTTCTCTGAGAAGTAACAAAGGTGGGCACTATGATGAGGAAACTAAAGGTGGTCGTGTACAGATCCAGAGGGTGCAGCATTGGTTTTCCACACCCCAAACGGACTCAGGATTTCCCGAAGGACTCAAGAGAAAGGAAAGATCTTTATTTAAAGTAAGCTTAGATGTCAGTTTTAAAGATGAGGAGTCAGGCATGAGGGGAAAGATCTTGATATCTAGTTACTAAGTTTGATCACAGTTAAAATAACAAATACTGGACCCACCTGTTTTCCTCCCCACTATAGCTGAATGCACTTCCGTAGCTGGATGCCCAACGAGAGCCTCTGTGCTCCAGAGATTTTAATCAAGAATATCTGACTGACCAAGTTAATTGATGCAGTTTCATACTTTCTTCTTAATGTTGAGACCCAACATTTGTGTAAATGCAATCCATTGTCAAGACACTGCTCACACTTGTGATTGTATGATATGCTATATCACTTAGTCTTCAGATTTCTGCTTCTATTTGTAAGCATGAGTGTGATCATTTGCCATGGCTGGGCCGTTGGTTCTCACCTCCTTTCCTGGCTTCATTCAATCGGCATTGTCGTGGATTTCCCTTGCTTTTACCATTGAGGCAGCTTCTTCAGGTCGCCGAAGAGCCCATCTGTAACTTGCCATATTCCCAGCTACTTATTTTTTGGCCTATCCTGCAATCTACCCATGTTCTGGATGCCCCGGTTTTGATATGACTATCTTTCTAAATAATTTTAACATAACCTTCTTTAGAAATGGCCATCATTGATCTTCAGTGATAAATTATTCACTTGGCTGCAAATGAGGAAAGGTGTTTTTTTTAAATTATCAGAAAATTCAAGGGCTGGTGTTACCGTTCCATGTTGTAGGGGACGCCTTGGACAAGACTGAGGAGCGGCTGGCCTATGGCATAGAGAACAACAGCACCCTGCTGGAATGCACTCCACGGTCTCTGCAAGCCAAAGTCATCTGGCTTGTTCAGAAGGGACGTGAAGCAAGAAAAGATGAGGTAATTTATACATGCATGTTCATACCATGGTGTCTTATGTGAAGTATTTGGGTGCTTAAAAATGAAAATCTGTTGTACTAAATATATTTCATTAAAAAACTAGGTTTATTTTTTAAATCTGTTTTTGTATATTTATATGATATGATTATACATTATATGTGCAAAGACAAATATTCTATATGCATCAAGAATTTGGATACTGGCAACTGTACAATTTTATTTTTACTCCAGGCATCCGTATAGTTTCATAATTTAAGGTCACATTGCAAAAATGATCATCTGAATTGTGTCACCTAAGGCAGTATTCCAGTGAAATAGCTAAGTTGAACATCATTAACATACATATCATTGAGAAAAGAATCATAGAATTAGAACACCAATAGCAATGGTAATATTGAATTCGTTGTACAATAAAGCTTCCTGAGGATATATTAGACACTGGCATGGGGGTGCTTATCTATTGGAAACAGGAAAGAGACTTGCCTTTTAAGGTTTTGTGGTAGATATTTATATTTTTATAAATGTTTAAGTGATGGGAAAGGAATGACTTGGGCTGCATTTAGAGAGGTAGAAAAATATCCAGCATTAAAGGCCCAAGCGCAGACTCATCTGAAGACAGTTGCTGGGTGGAAGGGTGAGATGAGTTGAGGAAGCTACAGGCACAGATGGAGAGGTCAAGGGCGTGAAGCAGAGCAGCCAGAAAAAGCATCACTGGTATTGACTTGGGTTTGTGACCTTAATTTTCACAAAGGTGGTATATAAAAATAGCAAGTGTAAGAAAATCTAGTTATATTGTAGAATGATGGAGAAACGGTCTTTGTGAAATGGGAAGCTGTGAGGTGAGTAAGGGAGAGAAACTTTAGCAAAGCACCTTTACAGCACACCTTTCCCTGTCAATGCCCTCAGCGATCCTGAAGGACAGGGTAGACTTGGCCCCTGAGTATCCGAGGGCACCCCATCCTTATGGGAGTAGAGAGCCACACCTTTGTCCCTATGGCACAAAGGAGAGCTTACTAATTAGTACATAGAGGCTATCGAGTGAATGAGCAGACATTGCCACCTCATTTTGCATGAAACCAACCAGATGTGGAATATTTTAGCTTTCCGTGTCTTTTTCCAGCATATTGTAAGACTAAACATCCAACGTTTTTTCATCTCAGTCACTCTGGGATATGATTAAATTTGTAAGACCTTAATTCCTACGATGGCTCTGAGGGAGGAAGTCGCCTCCTTCTAACCAGTCACAATCGCCTGGATGGCAGTGAGTAAGGTAAATAAATAAAAGCGATAACGCGAAAAAGGTAATCAAGAATAAACGTGAGCAAAACCCTGTATCATCCTGCACGAAACTAAAATTGTTGATTTATTATTAAGGCATTTTCTATTTCACAAGTGAAGAGGGTGTTTGTATGGTATCCTAACTCACACGGCAGGGCAGGGCCTGGGAATGTTCCACAGTTCCTCCAGCTGAATGACTTCAGAAGACAGAGAACTAATTCTTTCATCAATGGTTTTATTCACTCGGTATGTTCTGTTTCTAATTTGAAACCCACCATAATCTGTCTCATTTGGAAATCTTTACCAAATCATTTTGACATGCTGCATCCATCAATGTTCAATTATAAGCTTCTTTCTCATATTATTGATATAATCTACTTCTCCTTTCCCATAATTTTTAGTCCCTGTTTTCAACTGCACTCAAATTTCCTTGACTAATACATTTGATGGTATTTAAACTTTTGAATTTATTCACTGTATTAAAGGCATGTCGTAATCAGATAGTGAAGTCTTTCTCTAGATACAGCAATATAGATGTTGAGTTATGCACACTCTAAAAGAAAACAAAAAGTTCTGATTTCATCACAGCCTGAATATGGATGCTGTGTACATAAAGCAGATGACTTTGCATGTGAGTTGTAGAGGTTTATTTAAAGACTTTTAAAGCATACATTAGAGTCACTATGAGATTGTCTTTATGAAAGGACAATAATTGTATAATCAAATCATGACCATTGCAAAGACTGCTTAAGAACTCCTAGTCTGACTCTTACCTGTGGAAATGATGTTCAGATGATCTCCTAATAGTGGCTTGATGACTTGTCATAAACAACAAAAAATCAATAATTTTCAGTCACATCATAGCCTTTGTATGAGACTGGGTTATCATATGTAAGTCTTCATTTTGTTACATTGAAAATGTTTACTCTTTTGCCTGCAAATCTGAAACCCTTGAAACCCTACCAAAGCAAACCAAGCTCGCTGCCATCGAGTTTGCCAACTCACTGCGACCACACAGGACAAGGTAGAACTGTCCCTGTGAGTTTCCAAAACTGTACCTCTTTACGGAAGTAGAAAGCCCTGGCTATGTTTACCCAGCAGTCAAGTAGTCCTGTGGATGAAGTTTTTGTTGGAATGAATCATTAGGAACACAAAGTAATTGTCTCAGTAGTAGCACCTGGAAACTCACTTATCAAATGTTTCCAAATTCTCCATTATGTACATCATAGACACTACTGTTCCTTAAATGGTATGTAAAGGATATATGTTCTGTACATTGTATTTCATTCCACCATCATTTTTACAAAGTCTATTTTTCTAGATACTTCATGTTAATATTATTAGTTACCAAAAAGTTGCTTCCGACTCAGAGTGACACTATGCCCAGCAAAATAAAGTGCTGCCTGGTCTTGAGCCATCCTTAAAAGCATCGCTCTATTTAAATCCATGTTTTGCACTCACTGTATCCCTGTATCTTGTTAGAGGTCTTCCTCTGTTCACTCTTCTGCCCTCTGCTTTACCAGGCAATCCATTGGCTGGTCCCTCCGGATACCATCTCTGGATACCCTCTCCCAAATACACGAGAGGAAGTCTGGCTGTCCTCGCTTCTAAAGGCCGTTCAGACTGCGCTTCTTTCAGGACACGTGTCTTCTCCTTGCTTTCTATGACACATGCAGTCTTCTCCATCAGGGCTTTAACTCCTCTCTGGTCTTCCTTGTCCATTGGTCAACTTTCACATGCAGATGAGATGATCGAAAAACCCATGCCTCGTATCAGGAGCAACTGAACCCTCAACGTATCATCTTTTCTTTTTAAGACTTTAAAGAGGTCTTTTCTGTAGAGTTGCCCAATGTAATACATCATTAGATTGCTTTGCTGCTGCCTGCTTGGGCCTCGTGCTCATGCAAAGCCTAGGTGTGACGCAGAGGAAGTCAGGTGAATAAAACAAGGAAATACTGCATGGTGTAGAATCCAGAAAGGTGTAGCTCCGGTTTGTATTTTTCATTTAATGTGTATTCTGAGCAAATAATTTGAGAAGCTGGGCTGTATGAAGAAGAAAAAGAACTACAAGATTGGAGGAAGATTCATTAAAAATATGTGGTGTGCAGATGACACAACCTTACTTGCTTTCTAGTAAAGTGAAGAGAATTTGAAACACTTACTGATGAAGATCAAAGACAAATATTAAGTATGGATTACAGGTTAATATAAACCAAAAAAAGAAAACAATCCTCACAAGCAAGAAGCAAGAAGCAATATAATGAAAATGTAGAAAAAAATGAATGTCAGGGATTTCATTTTACTTGAATCCATAATCAATGCCTATGGAAAATACTTCATAAGGGATCAACTTTCCTTGGCTTGATAACCTGGTTAATTATGGTATATATCAGTTAGTATATATTGTGAAGGAAAAATATTACTTAAAAGCAGTAGCTATACTTTAATGTATACCTCTTGTTCATTAGAAACTGTGCTAGGTTTCCTTCCTTATTTCTAGATATAACAAGAAGTATAAATATCAATACTTAGACATTAAACCCAAACCAAACCCATTGCCATCAAATCGATGCCGACTCACAGAAACCCTATGGACAGGCTTGAGCTGTCCCTGTGAGTTTCCAAGATTATAACTCTTTATGAGAATAGGAAGCCCTATCTTTAGCCCACGGAGTAGCTGGTAGTTTTGAACTATTGATTTTCCAGTTAGCAGTCCATCTGCATAACCACTATGCCACCAAGGCTCCATTAGTGAGCTGAAAGTGACTGCTGTTGGCCATTTTGAATTGGAATAGCATATGTCCTACTATCCCAGGAATGACAAAGTCAGCAGGAATGGTGTATGCATCATCAAAAAGAAAATTCCAAGGTCTACCTTGAAGTACCATGCTGTGCTTGATAGTATATTATATATAAGGCTACAAGGAAGACATATTTATGCACAAGCCCCTAGAGCCAATGATGAACAAATTGAGGAAGTCTACCAACTTCTTCAGTCGAAAGTTGAGCACAGTTCAGTGAAGATGCATTAATAATGACTGGTTAATAGAATGGGAACAATGGAAATAAAGAGAGAAGATCAGTGGTTGACAACCTTGTTGGTAGAAACAAGCTAGAGAGCTCATGATAGAATGTTGCAAGACCAGTGACTTATGTACTTGCAAATACCTTTTTCCAACAACATGTTCAGTGATTATACTTGTGGGCCTTGACACAAGGAATAAGCATGAATCCAACTGACTACATCCGTGGGCAGAAATAATGAAGAAGCTCAATATCATCAGTCAAAGCAAGACCAATGACCAACTGTGGAATAGACCATCAATTGATTATAAGCAAGTTTAGGTTAGAAATAGAAAAAAATTAAAACAAGACTAGAGGAGCCAAAATTTGATCTTGATTATACCCCTTCTAGGGGACCGCCTCAAGAACAGACAAGTTGCAGTGAACATTAATAGCCGAAGACAAAAAGCATTGTGGGATGTTATCAACACCTGAAGACAACAAAGTGAAAAATACATGAGAGCCCTGTCTTAAGGCTGAGTTGATTTCTTCATGAGTACATCGTGAGATGTTTTTGTTGATTTTTATTTTTCATATCTCCTTTTGTATAGGTAATGTTAAGCAAATAAAAAAGCATTGTTCAAATGGCTTAAGGAGAGATTAAGGAAGGAAAGGGCCCTCAACTTCTCGGCAGAGAAATCTTTCTCCTTGATGTGGCA